ATTCACTGCATTAAAACAGAGAAAATAATCCCGGTCTTTCATAGGGCAGTAGAGAGGCAGCCTTTCAGTCACTTAACTTAATGTTCATGTGAGCAATTTTTTTTTTTTTGATGAGGCTGGTATTTTATTCTAATCAGTAGTGATTGATTTAAAAAAAAAAAAAAAAAGTACATCCCTTTTGACCATCTTTGACGCAGTACCTAAAGATAACAACAAAAACATTGATGCATGTAATGTTCTTCCAAAAAACAATACTTCACTGGGATTCTTTAACTAGGCCACCCTGTGTTTCTTCTTCTTTTTTAAGCACATCCTTGGTGGATTTACTCCTGAGCTAAGGATTATTACCCCATTGATATTTCCGCTGCATGTTCAGCTTCAAACAGATGTCTTCACATTTTTCTTCAAGTAATGTTTTACATGAATTCAAAGTTGACTCAGCCCTCTATCTACGAGGCTGCAAGACAACCTAAACCATAACATTTAGGCTTCCGTGCTTCACAGCTAGTATGAAAAGACTTCTTTGATGTTCACCAAACATATGGCTGTTGCCTTTTTATTTAGAAATGCACATTTAATTACACATTAGCTCTTTTTCCTTAACATAAAAGATAAAAACATAAAAATCTATGTAGGTCTACTGTGCCTTAAGGCAAAACAAGAAAAACACGTATAATGTTATTGTAGCCAAGCAATCCTTTGATTCTTCTGTGTAGAGCCCATCACTCCAAAAAGCTGTGGCTTTTGCTTTTGTGGTCGCCGACCAAAAATAAATTTGCTTTATTGTTCTTTTTGGACTTTTGGACAGCAAATTCTTTTTTCCTGTTACACATCCCATTCAGGTCAAAGTTGTGCTATCTGTTTGTAGACACACAAACACACAAACAAACAGTTTTTATCATTTACGGAATATTTCTAAACTCAGTCTAATGGTATCAAAGCTTGAACTTGAGATGATTATTCATGCTTTTATTTCTTCTCGTTTAGACTACTGTAATGGCCTTTTTACTTGTTTTAACAAATCAGCCTTAAATAGTCTTCAGACTGTGCAGAATGCTGCAGCACGTCTCTTAACAGGCACCAAGAGAAGCTCGCATATCACTCCAATCTTGGCCTCCCTTCACTGGTTACATGTAAATTTTAGGTTTCATTTTAAAATTTTAGTTCTAACCTTTAGGGCCCTACATGGTCAAGCTCCTCAATATTTATCTGACCTGTTGAAACCACATTCATCTTCTCGGGCTTTAAGGTCATTAGATCAGAGACTGCTGGTGGTACCGCACACACACACTTTTAAAACTCGTGGTGATCTTTTTCAGCTTTGATTTGTAGTTGTTGATCAATGGTCATGAGAATTTGCATATTAATGATCTCCCAGCCCATCGTTCCTTCAGTGTTGCTAGTTTCTGTCATTATGCAAATGTACTGTTTGTAAGATTGGGAAAACCTGCAGTCAGCTCTCACTGGAAAACAATACGTCCAGATTAACGGAATAATAGAACCAACTTTTGGGGATTTGCTTACCTGGATGATTGAGCATGATCAAGATGTTACCTGCAGATCCTGGGATCTAATTTGCTTTACATTTGCAAAGAGCTCTCAAGACCCAAGGCACCCTTTTCCCGAATCCCACCTCCAAAGCTGCTATAATTACTTTTTTTTTTTTTCTTTTTCTCAAACAAGTTATAAAAAATTATATACACTGGAACTCATCAAACAGTCTGTCTCTGCCTTGGATTCTCCCACGGCCAGTTTACACATATGGCAACAGGATGTTTTGCATTTTGCACATGGCTCGTGTTTTCAATCTTGTCCCATACCAAATTCCATTTAGCTCCTCATTTATGCCAAAGATGGAGTTGGAGTCTTTGCTTTTGCGAGTTATCAGTGAAATAAATTTAATTTTCCTCACTTCAGTTTAGTTTGTGTACTGCTAATTCATAACAGTGGCTTCAAGGCACCAAGGCAACTTCTTCACATTTTCTTTTTCCCCATTTGGTTCATTCATTTAAAAATGCATTGTCTTATTTGAATATGTGAAAATGTATGTGAAAATGTCATACAGCTGACCAAGAGTTTGACTTGTTTAAAATCAGTGAGTGGATAGGTATTTGATGTTTTCCTGCTTCTTCAAGCATTTTGTGCAACTTTACCACCTTATTTGGCTATATGGAGCCAAATATAATCACATCATCTCCTTGACTCCAGTTGGGTTACAACACAGATTCCAACATAGAAAATTATTACCAAGTAGAATAATATTGTAAGTTACCTTTTGGTTGGCTTAACCTGTACTTGTGTCACTATTTTGCCACATATAGGCAAGATAAGAGGAGATAAGATGATAAAAGAACAGCTGGTCTACTCTGCTAGACAGTGTGTTGCTTTTATTTTTCAGTAGACATGGGGGGAAAACCGACGCTGCTGTTTTCCTTTTGGTTTGTCTTAGTTCTTACAGGAAGTGACACGGTAGCGGGGTCTTTCATAATCTTGGAACTTCAGACCACCTACAAAACTGAGCTTTCAAGTCAGAGCAGTTCTATACTAAAGCAAATACTGGATGAAAACACTTAAACCTACATTCACTGAGATAAACTAAATATGCTGGGAGTTCTGTGAATACGGAACACGTTGTTTTGTATTTGGTAGCCGCATAGTTGTAACTGTAGCTCAAATTGACACTCATGACATTTTATGCTTTATCAGTTGTTTGTCATGGGGGGGAAAATCCTATGGGGTATACCCTGGGTAGGTCACTGGTTTATCGCAAGGATAACACAGAGAGGGAAAAACACCAACCATTTACATCTCAATTTAGAATTGCCAATTATCCTAACCCATGCATGCCTTTGAGAGCTAACCACACAAGGAAAAAACAGTAGCTGGCTGGCAGGATTTAAACCCAGGACTTTCTTTGTGTGAGGAACGATGCTAATCACTATACCACCACAGTGAACGTCTTAAAATTCCCGCCTGGGATACATGACAGTCACGAAAATAAAGTATATGATGTGAGATAAAGTAAAGCAAAAACAATTTTGCATTTGGCAAGCAGCGGCCAAGTATTTTGTGTGTTTTACCTGACAAATACCTTATCTAAAGAATCAAATACTGATTTGTAAAATATTTGCATTCCCAAAATTAATACAAATTACAAGAGAAATTACATCAATGCAAAACAGCTTTTAGTCCATACCAGTGTTTACAGCTCGTCACAGCCCCCCGCCATCCTGTTCACCCTTATTAGTCTCGTCTGTTATCAGATTAAGCACAGCAGAATGCTGACGCTGTCATTATGAGCATCCGCTATCAGAGGCTCTTAACGCAGCTGAAGAGACATCCAGCATTGATTCAACAAGATGCTTATTTTCCCTTTCGTGACAGTTGTTAATGTTGTTGTTGCATAAGAGTGTTAACAGCTGGAATTTTTTTCCGATCGGTTTTCAAAGCAGGAAGAATGGTCGTGGACATAAGCTCGCTTAAATCAGACTCTCCAGATTCAGACTCACAAGTTTCTAATCCACTTTTTTGTGCTTTTGGATGCAATGATGAGCTAATATTCATGTTATCAGTGTATTGGGGTGGTGAAAAGGATGCAGTGCTTAGTGAATTTTAATTATCTGTCTTTTAAAATGTGGTGTGGATAGGAAAGCTTCAACAATGCTTTCCACACCCTAATTTCACAGTGGGATTATCATCATATAATACTGTTTGCACCGTGTACAATCTGTAATGGGCTTTTTTCTTGTTTTTTTTTTTTTAAATGGGCCAGCTTTTATAGGTTTGAGGAAATTTTACATAAAACTCAACGGGGCTCAGAGGGCATTCACCATATGGTTGCTTGCTTTTCTTTTTTGACGTAATAGGTTTAGAGCTCCATTTAGTTGCAGTTACGTTCTTGATTCATTATAACTCATCATAAATGATTACCATTATGGTTTTCTAAAGCCCAACAGTCCAGACAGCGATATTTACTGTGCGATAAGTTTACCATGCATTTTTTTTAGTTATTGAATTTGGTTCTAATGTTCAAAACTGCAAAGTCACTTTTTGAATACATTATACTTCAGCTGTCCATTCAGAAATAAATGTTGAAATGTTTCGGACACTTTTGTCGTCATTGCACCGAGGTCAGCGTTTTTGACTGAACTGTAAGTCACAGCAACTCTACCGCTGCAGATGTTTCTGACCCAGATTTACACAGACTGCAGCAGATCCATCTTGAGAACGTTGACCGAAATGCATCATTAAACTCTCCCTGTATTCCCAAATGACAGGAACATGAGAATTCTCCTTGGATAGGAGATATGTATTTTGCATTAACAGAACTTGCCACAGCTTGGAGGACTTGCAGATGTGCTGGAGAGACTTCAGGCCTGACTTGCTCTGGTGGTTGGCTCTGTGCTTCTCTCCTGCTTACTGTATCAGCTAAGGGAGTTTCTTGGCATTTTCACCTGCTTGGAAATTTACTTTAAGTCAAACACCACTGCTTCTCTAAGTCCTTAGTCTGTTTACACCCAATGTTTGGGAATTTTAAAGTTGTCATGTACCATTTCCAAGGCCAGGCATTTACAGTATGCTGACAGACAAAAGTCGTAAGTGTGAATGTTATTTTAAGAAGTGCAAAACCAACATCAGTCAATCCAAGTGTGGTATGAAATGCTCCATTAATGGCTACTGTAAAATGCCCAAATATTTTCACTGTATCCATCAATTTGTTACACGGAAGCTGTGTCCAATCTCTAGGATTATAGAAAATTGCTTGGAACATTTTTATACCATTCTTGCAAATCAGCAGTATCGCTATGCATGCCAAACGCAATATGCAAAGAAATGGAGATCCACCATAAACACTTTACTGAGTGCAGATACGGTAACATTTTGAGGACTGGATAATCTGTGTGTGATTTGGCTGTGTTAGGCTGGATTGTACATTTAAAAACTGAGTGACTGTGTGGTTTTGATGAATTTATATTTCTCTTTCCTCTGTCTCACTCTAGCTGCCTCTGAGGGGAGAGTCAACGGTGGGGAGGATTTCTTTCAGAAGGTGAGTGTGTAGTCTGCACTTGGATAATGTGTGCTTTGTCTCTGGGTTGTTTTCAAGCCCACTGAGCAGCACTTCACTCATTGGTAATGGAGCAGATGCTCAGGTGCTCCTTCAGTCAGTCCTAATTACAAATGTAAACAAATAAAAACAATGGAACTACACTGACGTTAAACCACTCCAGGGCTCTGATACTATAACACAGCTGACACAACACTGGGTGGGGGGGCTTTCTCAGTTACATAATAATATAATATACAAATAATATACCAGCTTATCTAAAGTTTAAAAACCCTAATCCGGCCAAGCAGTGCATCACTGACTTTTCTGTGTGAGCAATTTAATGAAATGTCCTCAAGCTTCACTACATTCAATAAAACGAGGAATTGGCTCAGTGAGTTTAAATATTTCTGAATGGGTGACAACTTGCTCACATTCTCGTACTGGTACTTGGGGAACAGTCAAGTATGACACAGTGGCTGTATAGCTCAGTTCTTTATTAATTGATGCTCTTTCATACCAGTACAATTGTTTTATTAATTGCAAACTCTCAAGTGAAACCATTTCTGACTATTCAGTAATGTGACTTTCTCAGTGCAAGAAAGTCTGACTCAATTTCAGACTTTCTTGCACTCTGTTAGCAGTAGAACCACGAAGGGGGTCATTTTCACTCCGTGGCATTTAAAGAAAATATCGAAATTGGTTAAAATATAGCAAATAGTGAATTTTAGGATGTGTGAAATAAAAATGAAAAAATGAAAAAATAAATAAATAAACATAACCGTTTATACCTAGAACAAATGAGGAGGTAATTTAGACCCAATAGAAATTAATGTAAAACAATATTGTACATGCCAGGTTGCCTAGCAACATTTACTATTTATACACTTTTTGATATGATGCCTGCTGTAGTGCAGAGTAGTAGTTACTGCAGGGCCAAACGTGTCATGTATGGGAGTTTGAGCTGAAGCAGAGCCACTCAGAGCACGGAGTGTGTGACCGAACGTGTAGAGAACCGGGCGAGTTGTTGGCTTTATAGAGCAGCAGGGGAACTGCAGACAGTCCAGAGTGTGGGGAACAAATTGCGCAAATAAAAAGTGAAATCAAGAGCAGAAAAGTTTTGGAGCTGCGGAGGTGAATATCTACAGACTGAGGCGAAGCAGTGAGGATGCTGGACGACAGGCTGCAGGACCGGTGATTAGAGGCAGTTGTGGATGAGATGTTAAACTTTCACTGTTAACTGTTGATAATGTGTTCACGCATCAACAAATCACACCAACACTTGCCTCTAGTGGCTTTGTGATATTTAATGAAATTATCTAAATCATTTATAAAACCAACAAAATCTCTTAAATCTTTTTACAGTCAGATCTTACTTAATTTTCAACTAATTTATCTAATTTTAGCAGCATAACATCTTCAAGAAATGACATTGCCTTTGCTGCTGTTGTTTCAGGACGAGGTCAACTTTGCGGTGGTTTTAGGGAGTCTGGTCTTGGCTTTCTGAAGGCCTTAACCTTTTTTTCTTTTTTTTCTTTTTTTTTGACGTTGGCTGCTTTTTCACTCATTTTCAGTCCAGTATTTGAACCTGAGAATTTATAGTGGAATCTTCTTTTATTCAGGCTCAACAGGGGATTTATGATTCTCTGGTCTCCCCGTTCTCTCCGGGTACCCCAGCTTTCTCCCACAGTCCAAAGACATGCAGTTAGTTGGGTTAGGTATCTAACAGCGATCTGTCCAGAGTGTACCCAGCTCTCGACCTATGGTAGCTGGGATAGGCTACAGCGACCCTGACAAGGATAAGCAGAAGAGAATGGCTATATGGATGTTAAATCTACACAGTGGCTACGTTCTAACCACAAACCCGTGGGAAACTCTACACCATAACCTATGATGCAACTGTAAACTCCCTGGAAAATTAACTAGATTGGGCGTTGACACAGCCCACAATTATTGTCACTGCTGCTTTTTGTCCTGCAGTTTTTGATTATCAGTGAGAGAGTAATAATCATAGCCTCAATATAAGGACTCACAGATGTCAGCTAATTCCTGGAGGGAGATTGCCCAAACTATTGGAATGACACAGAAAAACGTGAGGGACACATGTGTTTGCTTCCAAAAAATGAAAGACCACAACAAAGACTGGGGACACTAACATATAACGAGCAACTTAGCAAAGAACCAATTTTAAATTGCATCTTCGTGCATTTTGTTACTAGCAGCCTCTCACAAAAACATGTAAATTGTTCCCACTTCTTCAGCTGAATTTATGAAAAATGCTAAAGATAAGGTGATTCCCAACAAGCAATCATCCACAAACTTGGCATATCTCTGCACTGTATTGTTAATTAAAGATGAGGGAACTGGACAAGTGAAGGACAATGATACATGATACAGGACCTGATGGATGCATGTGGACCTTCAGTAGATAAATCTAATATTTGTTGAAGTCCTATCAGAAATGTCTCAACAAATGGGTGGTTGTCAAAAAGGAAGAGAAATGGTGATAAAGCTGCTATATGCCACGTTATCCTAGAACATTACAGAAGCAGTGTAGGATTATCCTGATAGCGATTGGGGGGGGGGAAGGCAGCCAACATCCAAAAAAGAGATTTGAACGTCCTTTAATAAGCCCAGAAAACTTTTTGTTAAGACTCTTTGCATAAATTATTAGAAAGCTTACCTAAACCAAAGGCGATCATACCCAATATTGACTTTAAAGCTGATTGATTTACTCTTTGTCCCCCTCATGTTAAGAATTATGTAAAATGATATTAAAAGTAATTAAAATAAAACAAAATTCTATTGATCAACAATTCACAATACTAAAACTTCAGCTTACGGCTTAAATTGATAGATTTTCCACAACCTGTCTGCATGCATATGTCACAAGAGAAAAGACTGTGCAGATGCTGACTAAGATCACAACATTGTGTCGGGCAGAGCTATGTTTCAACTCATGTTTTGGGAGTAAAAATTGTCTGTCATCAGACCCTAAAACAAGAGTCATTGCGACAAAGCATTTATAGCTTTTTATTTTTCTAAAAAAAAAAAAAATGTTGGGTTATGTCTTTTCCGTCTGTGCTTCAGTTCTAAAAGCAGCAGATCAACAGTCTTGCATGTAGAGATCTGATGTCCCTAAGGTCTTGGCAGAGTGGTGCCTTTGGCTTTGAAGTGAATGCAACTTTTCCAAAGGGGTATTTTAGCAACTTGAAGTGCAAGACTGAGTAGACCTGTATAAGTTCAAGCATTAAATTACACAATGACGTTTTATGTAAGCAAGTTGGAAAGAAAAAAAAAATTAACCGAGACTCTGACTGTATTAAAACGTACTTTGCAAAGTTAACACCTGAAGCATCATCTGCAGATACAGAGGTTGCACTTCTCAGTTATTAGACACATTGCATGAAATGAATAACGAGGCTTCTGCAACACACTGTATCATTACTGTGTGTTATAGTCAGCTGTTGTTAAAAAAAAAACACACCAAATGCTGTACATAATTATGATTAATGGAGTGGTATGTCGATTTGTGCAGCATTTGAGTCTGTATCATAAAAGAAACTGTCTCAAACGTAATCGAGATTGGTCATTGCATACAGTCTAATCACACTGACAACAGTTGACCCAAATTGTAAGATCTGACATGAAAATTCAAAGTGTATATTGAAGTATATTGTGGTTTCCTTAATTTATCTCAAGTGGATTGATTTTTGTTTAAAACTCAGCTTCCTCATTATATTAAATCTCCCTCTATACTATGTTAATGGGCTGTAATGAAATAAATGATGGACAGCGGTCTGCTTTAGCATTCCTCCTTTGTCTATTTTCCGTATTTGGTTTTGGAGGTTAGGAATCAGAGTTAAATGTCAAAGAAGGAGGCAATTTAACTGTCCCTGAAGCAGTTTTCAAAAACCAAGTAATGCAAACCAGGCGCCTTAAGATTTCCCTCGTCGGAATTTTAACAAGGACTCTCGATATAATGCACTCTAGTTCTTCCTTCACTTCTTTTGGCTTGGATAGAACGGCAGTGTTTAGGATATGCAGTCTAGATGTCTACCTCAAAGCAGGTCTGGCAAAATACGCCTGGTGGTGTATTGACTTTGCCAGCCATGACTTTAAAAGTCCTTGACTTGAATATTGTCACAGCTTGTTCAAAGAAACAGTGGTTACTAGAGGTTAAATTGACAATTAAAAATTAGTGTGCAGCTGTTTGAGTTGGCAGTCTGGTAAGAAGCAGTAAAGTGCTAAAGTCATGTTTTTATTGTAGAATTTCCATTTGGACAGCTCTGTATAGTTTCCCCTCTGATAGCGTGATCACCATACATGCCCAATTTGAGTTGGGAAAATAAACACACAGTGTAACTGTGGATTGTTGAAAGAAAATGGATGAGGTGTGTGAAATACCTTGAAGTTGATGAAAATGGAAACTCTTAGTTGGACCGCTTCCTGCCCTTCCAACACACCCATGAACCACACACACTCAGTGGGACTAATAAGGCACATACGAAGAAAGTCTCTCCCACACATAAGAAAGCATATAGTCATTTTTGACGCACACATTCTTACACTTTGGGTGTTGGGAATTAGATTTTGTAGTTGCCTCAGCAGTTGAGATTTTTAGAGTTCAGTCTCTGGCAAGAGCAGCACAAAATGATCCACCCCCGCACTTTCTTCCCAAGCCTGCCTGCTGCAGTTGATCAAACCCTCTTACTCACTGTCTGCTGGACTTCCTTTGAGCTCAGAGCAACTTTTTGTCATAGAGTCCAAAACAGTCCACCCTCTTCATGTTGTCAGTAAAATAGTAGAGAAGATGGCAGACAATGTTGGACAACAGGAGGGTGCACCAGCCGTGAAGTTAGCCATGTGAAGTTCCCTGCAGCTCCTGTGAGGGAATCTTACCAGCTATGTCCCTTTTCTCTTTTCAGCCTGTTTTTGGCATCACTCACTCATGTTTTTCCCCTCTCACACGTCTCTTTCTGCCTCTTCCCTGCTGTTGTTCCAATGTTATTAGGTCTTTGCACTCTATTAATCCATTAATGTTTCCTTGTTATCATTCTGGTGTAAGCAGGGGATTTCTCTCCAAATAATATACTTGATTGTTTAACAGAAAGCGTGCGTCAGTGAACAGTTTATCATATTGTTATGCAGTAAAAACTTTTACGCTGTAAACTGTTGGAAGTGTTGCATCACTCTAAGCTCTATGGAGAGGTGTGTAGAGGTTTAGTCGTGGGGCAACAAAAGACGATAACGCCACGCACCACAGAAGAGCTTTGAGTGGATGTGAGTTGAGAGAAGCCTTTTGAACCTCTATCCAGTTCCTCCCCAGTCCTGCTTCTGTCTCCATCCCAGAGGTTGTGGTTCTCTAAATAATGCCAAGCAGGATATTTAAGTGCCAGTGTTCTCTACATCTGATGCCAGATGTAATTCATTTCATTTACACTGACGCATTTTGTATTCCGCTGCGCTGACAAGGAAAAAACCTGAAAAATTAAGACTGTCAGGGTGAAATATTTGGTTGGCATACGTCTGTGAGACGTTGAAATAACTAGGTCAGTATGAGTGGCATCAAAACATACATAAACAAATGTTTGTGTTCAGTCAAGCAGTTTGAATTATCATGCGTCATCCATTAAAGTGTGTGTGTGTTGCCCAGAGGAGTTACGGTGCTGCAACTTAGCACTCTGTTAACATGAACTCAGCTATGACTGTTGAGCCTCACGGGAACGGTTCAGTCAGTGCTGTCATCTTCGAGCTCTGCTGTTTTCTCAGTCTCGTAACTCTGACACCTCCCCCCAGAAACCCTCTGTCATCCCCGCAAATACACACACAATCGCACATATTCCAGCTGAATCAACAGCTGCACCATTGCAGCGAGATCCAGGAAACATGCCTCTACACTGTCGACTGCTGCTGTGCAATACATACTAACGCAGTCACGTGTTTTAAATGGATGTGCCATCTTTGAGGACATTTACTTAATGATATCCTGTGTTATGTTACGCACACATCTGCACGCACAGCTGCAAACCACCAAGAGCTGATCATGTCAAGGTCGTGCCATGAAATGTTGTTGGAGCCACAGTCATTTTTGTATTGATTTCAGAAAGGCTAGGGTGGCAGAATAGAGTGGCTGGAATGGTAAATATATAGGTTACTTAAATTTGTGCAAATATCTTCACCCATTTGAGAGGCATTTGCTAGCCCCTTCATAAATAAACACCATCCACCCTTTAAAATGGTGTGTGGTCTGCCAGAAATCAGTCCCATCTGCAGGACCCTGCCAAGAACAGCAACGCTGGACAGGAAACAGTTTTCTCTGAACAAAGCCCTTTTTACAGAAAAAGTTAGGGTATAAGCCATAATGTCTTTTGGGTTGTTTTTTTGTTTTTTTTTAAATCGTAAGCCTTCTACTTTGCTTATTTTCTGTGCTCCATTGTAGTTTCTGCGTAGCTTTAAGAGAGTGAAAAGTACATTTCCATTTACAGTGTCATTTTACTCGCTATCAGTCATCTGGCTTTAGTTCCACCATTGCCACTGCAGTTTCTGTTACCTCTGGGAGCTTGCTGCAGTCTTATGTTTCTTTCATATGTGCTTTTAAATTAAAGGCCTTCATGACAAATCCAGACACACGTGTCATTGCCACAGGAGAGTGATTTGTAAGAGCAGAAGTTACAAAAAAAACTTTTAAAATTAAAGGAAAAAGTTAAGAGAGAATTTGTCTTTATCGCCGGGAACAGAATGTCCTTTAATGCTGCTTGTGATGCATCCAGCTGGTGTGAGCATGTGATTCAGACTGCGAAGAAAAGTTTGCATTCAGCTACAGGGGTGTTTGTGATTTATTGTCCTTTCTCACATATACCAGACGTCAGTGGGTGGGTGTCATGTTGTAGATTAGCTGCTTGTGCCCGAGGCTAGTTTGAAACTCACTAACATAAAACTTGTCAGATTTTGGTTTCAGGCTTGACTTACACTCTGTGTAAAACCATTTTGAGTGAATACATGGATAATGTTGTTGCAGCACTTGTAAAAAATCCTGCATCAAAGAGGAATGGGGAGGTCTCCAGTAAGACAGTAATGGGTGATCATTAGCAGCACGCTAAAGGCCGGATCTGTTTCTAGCTTAGTCCCTTTAATGATGCCAGAATAAATTCCTTACAGAAATAGTTGAGCAAGATTATCTGAGAAGAATTTGCCTTTATTTTCATTGCACAACATGTACATTGCACTCAGTAGACACTGCAAGTAATCGCAGAACCACGAGACGGATAAATCACAAGGAGGACTGAAAGCTTAATTTTTTTTTACCCTTAGATGATGAGAAATCTAAAAAGATATGCAACTTGGGTCAAGAGTTTAAGAGGGAGGGAAGAATATAACAATACATCAGTAAGTTTTTATTGAGTTTGTTTTGTTTTTCTTGAGGAATGCAGACACTTGTGAGAGGAAATTTACTTACCTTTAAAAGGAGCCTATAAAATAAACCCATAGATGCCATTGCTTAATAAAAGTTACAATTCTGACTTCAGGGTACTAGGTTTTTACATTTTTATGTGGGAAGGTGTAGGAAATCAGTGAGGCCTGAAAGGGGCCGTCAACCCTCATCGGCTTAGAATATACAGCTCAGCTGTAGCGTAAAGTGAAACACACATCAGGCCTTTGGAAGCTGGCTCTGTTTTACAGGTGTGTGTGACTGGCTGTGGATAAGCTGTCAAACTATGTTGTTGATGATTTCAAGAAAAACCCTTCAACATGTAGAAAAGCAGACAGGAGTTTATGAGCTTCCCTTTCTGATTTGTGCCTCAGTTAGCAATACAAGCTGTACTTTTGTCTTTAAAAAAAAAAAAAAGAACTGGCAGATATAATTTAATAATCTTTGAGGGGACAATGAAAGCTGTGAATAGTTGTAGCAGTACTAATAAGCCTAACATCTAATTTGACTAGGGAGCACTGATGGATCTTAATGCACCCTTTCTCCCATTTGAATTACAATATGTGGCTTATGGCTTAATGCACTGGACCACTAAGGAATATTAAGTGGCAGCCCCTGCTCATGTAATGTGTTGAAGCGGGCCTCTGGTGCTTGATCACGTAGCTGAAACAGAGAATTTCATATCTTCTCCATCCCGAAAACACAAACCCCTGGAAAGTATTAAAACAAACATAAGACCACAGGACATTTCTGAAAACAAGGATGGAGCACATTGAGGACAAAGCCATTAGGAGACACATCTGATTTTCTTTCTTTTTTTTTCTTTTTTTCCCCCTCCATTAATATCAAGTACTTCTCACGACTGGCAGTTCAAAAGGCAGCCGTTATAGATTTGTAGGCAGGAGGCCAAGCAAGGTAACTTCCTCCTGGT